CGACCCTATCGGGGTTAAGAAAGGGTTTTAGATATGTTTTGAACCAAGCATCTAAACCCAGCAACACTCTTCGCCTTCTTCTCTTGGTAGCTTCAATACTCAACACAGTCAGAGTAAGCCTTTCTCTTTTGTTCTCCTTTCCTTTTGTCTTGTTAGTATGCTCTATTCTCTTCTCCTCCATGTGGGGATCAGTAGCTAGGCTTGTTTGCTGTCGGAAATTTTCTTGGCATGTTAAGCCAAACAAGCTCTACTCTGTTTCTGCTGTTGCCCAATTGAATCCCATTTCATCTGACTCTCTTCCTAAACAAGAAATTGTTAATCCCCAGAATAAAGACTGCCATGATTACCACTTCTTTGAATTTGATAGAATTAAGGTTGTGGAAACTTTGAACAGTTTGAGAAACGAACCTCAAACTGCTTTATTGTTCTTTTATCAATTGAAACAAAATGGGTTTTGCCATGATGTGTGTACATATGCTGCTATTATAAAGATATTGTGTTACTTTGGTTGGGAGAGAAAGTTGGATTCAATGTTGCTGGAGATGATTAGGAAAGGCAGCTGCTTGGGTTTTGAAATTACGGAATTGTTTGATGTTCTTGTTGAGGGGCGTGAAGGAGAAGGCTCAAATCTTCTGGTTCAGTTTTCTAATGCTTTGATTAAGTCCTATGTTAGTGCTGGAATGTTTGATGAGGCTATTGATATTATGTTCCAAACTGAACGCCATGGGTTCATTCCACATATATTGTCTTTCAATTTTCTTATGAATCGTCTGGTTCAGTCTGGGAAAGAGGAGATGGCCATGGCTATATATAAACAACTGGAAAGGCTTGGTTTGAAGGCAAATGATTATACCTATGGCATTCTGATAAAGGCACTTTGCAAAAGGGGTAGTTTTGATCAAGCTGTCTGTGTTTTTGAAAAGATGGATGGTGAAAAGATTACACCTAGTGCCTTCTCTTACACTACTTATATTGAAGGGCTTTGCATTCATGGCAAAACAGATTTGGGTTACGAAGTACTTAGGGCTTGGAGAGAAGCAAACATTCCACTTGATAACTATGCTTTTATTGTTGTGATTCAGGGGTTTTGTAAGGAGATGAAATTGAAAGAAGCTGAAGATGTCTTACTTCACATGGAAAATCAAGGAGTTCTTCCAGACGTGCATGCCTATGGTGCCTTGATAAGAAGTTATTGCAAGTGTGGAAATATAATTAAAGCTCTGACTCTTCACAATGAAATGGCGTCAAAGGGTGTCAAAACCAACTGTGTCATTTTGAGCTCTATTCTTCAAAGTTTGTGCCAGCTGGACATGGGTTTTGAGGCTGTAAATCAATTTAAGGAGTTTAGGGACAGTGGCATTTTCCTTGATGAGGTTTGTTATAATGTAGCGGCAGATGCTTTGTGCAAGCTTGGACAAGTGGAAGAAGCCTTGGAATTGCTTAATGAGATGAAGGGTAAACAGATGTGTCCTGATGTCATTAACTATACTACCTTGATCCATGGGTTCTGTCTTCAAGGAAAAATTGGGGATGCCTTGAACTTGTTTGAGGAAATGAAGGAGAAGGGCAGTGAACCTGATATTATTACATATAGTGTCCTCGCTGCTGGCTTAGCCAGAAATGGCCTTGCACGGGAGGCAGTCGATCTTTTAAAGTATATTGAGTCACAGGGTTTGAAACCTAATGATGTGATGCACAACATGATCATTGAAGGCTTGTGCATAGGAGGTAAGGTGAAGCAGGCTGAGGAGTTTTTAAATAATTTGAAAGAGAAATGTTTGGAAAACTATAATGCGCTGCTAAATGGTTATTGTGAAACAGGCCTCACAAACAAGGCCTTTGACTTATGTGTTTTTCTGGCTAAGAAGGGATTTCTAGTAAGAAAGAGTACTTGCTCAAAACTGCTTAGTAACCTTTGCCAGCAAGGTGCTAATGACAAAGCTCTTATGTTACTAAATAGGATGTCTTCTTTAAAGGTTGACCCTACTGGACCCATGTATGGTAAACTCATTGGTGCTTTTTGTCAGGCAGGAGACATGGGAAAGGCAAGGTCATTGTATAAAAGTATGCTTGACAGTGGGTTAACTCCTGATCTGATTACATACACAATGATGATTAATGGATATTGTAAGACAAATTCTTTGTTAGAAGCATGGCATCTGTTCAAGGATATGAAGGAAAGTGGGATTAAGCCTGATATTATTACATACACGGTTTTACTTGATGGCTGTGCAAAAATGAATCTGAAGTCTCATTCTAGGCCTGATCTGATCCAAACCAAATACAAGAGCATGCATGCTTCTGCTTTGTGGAGTGAAATGGAGAACATGGATATACAACCTGATGTTGTGTGCTACACTGTTTTGATAGATCAGCACTGTAAGACAAACAGCATTGACGATGCAGTCAAAATTTTAGATGAAATGATTGAAAGAGGATTGGAACCTGATACTGTGACATATACAGCTCTTCTATGTGGCTATTGCAGAATAGGAAATGTAGAAAAGGCAATTACCCTGGTTGATGAGATGGCAACTCGGGGAATTCAGTCTAGTTCAGTTACCTTGTCTGCATTGCATCATTCTATCTTGAAGGCCAAGAGAGTGCAGTGTCAATGACGACAACTCTGGTGACTCAAGCAAGCAGATACTCATTAACCCGTACCTATGCTCAATCCATTGTTTCAAAGGTAAACAAATATAACTGCTACTTTTCCTTATTCACAGCTTTTACAATCCAACTAGAAATACTCTGAGGATACATTTTCACTTTATCATTATATTGCAACTGAATTATTAATGTCAAGCCCCCCACCCTCCCCCCAGGGGAAAAAAAAAAAAGGAAGAAAAAAACCCTGAATGATTTATATATTTCAGGCAGCCAAGCATGAAGAATACAAGCTTTGCATTGACTCAGTGGAAGTTCTCTGTTTTAGGTATGGAAGCTAGACAAAAAATGTTGGCACTTAGCACCCACCTTTTTCATATACTTATCGGCATGATTTTGCTTTTGCGTAACTAATCTTTGATTCTATATTGCAGTTTCTCTTTCTCTTTCATTATATTGTTTTAACCCTTCTTAATTAAGCAGATCCTTGTTTTTTGTTAGGCCATGAAGGTCTTCACTAGCTTTCTCATATTTTCAAAGCTCAATGATTGCATAAGTGAAGAATAAGATGATGTGTTGAAACTAACCTTGAATCATTTTTGGCTCCATAATACAAAAAGAAATAAAAGATGATGTATTTGCCCAGAAGGTGATTTAAGCATAATCCTTTTTGCAATGGTACTTTTTTTTTGGTCTATTGTCAAACATATACCAGCTTGTTACGTACTTATTTCGGGGAATGGTGGTTCTTTAGCTATGCAGTCTCTTACTCTAATCAAGTTTGACCTCTGTAGTCCCAGGCACCAAAGACCTTTCTTGCCAAGTTGAGAAAGATGGACTAGTCTGTTCACTGAGAAAGAACTCAATTCCAGGTGCTAGGCGGAGGTTGAACCACCACAGCTGGTACCAAAGTTAGTGTTTCACCCTAGTATCCCTTTTTTGTGCCCTTTTCATTATTAATTTTATTTTCCAAAGCTTGCATGCATACAAAATATGAATTGAATTATCTAAATTGTAATACCTTTCTGGAACATTCGATTTATATGGGAAAAGATACATACCTACCTAGAAAAAACAAAAGAAACTGCAATCCTAATGATTCTGTTTGGTCATTCACTGTTTAATCACATACTTGCATGGTTTGCTTCTACAGTCACTATGTATTGTACATCTCTTGTTTAAGTTTGGTATCTTCAAGTTTTTCATTTTCTGATGACATTCTATGTTCATTCCTTAAGATTGGTGAAGGACCCGGGAGAAGGAATTTTGTCGTTGTTGGTTGCAGCAGAGTTCATTCAGCAGTAACTACTCCCCCAATCTCACCCCTGAACAGAACACTGAAACTTCTTTGACTTGCTGGAACGAGCCGGAGCAACCAGATAGTCAACTTCTCTGTGTGGAAGGAAATGTAAAGACACCACAGGAATCCTTTGTTATCTACCTATGCTCTACAACAAGAAATTTTAATCCAGGGTTATTCCAACTGCTACTTCTTTCAGGATATAAATGTTGTAATGTATTATATATTTCTGAAAATATGCAACGGAAAAATGTAACATAGATACCAATCCATTCGCAAGAAGCAAAGTATTTCTTTTTTTTTTTATTCTTTTCATTTTAATTCAAAGCAATTGTGTGTGTGTATATATTTTTGAGATTCTATAGATCATTCTTATTTCATTAAATCAAATCAAATGAAGGTGTTAAGCCAGTTATAATATGATAAGAAAAAAATTTATCGATTAAAAATTATGTTAGAAAAAATAAAAAATGAAATATTACTTTTATTATTTTAAATATTAATATATAAGAAAGATAAGTATGAATCTTGATTTTAAAAAATAATTAAAGTTTTAACTTTAAATTATATTTTTTATTTAATTAAAATTTAATTTAAAATTTAAAAAGTTATTTTATTAATATTATTATATTAAAATATATAATAAGATAAGATTTTAATTTTTAGATATAAATTAAAATTTTAATTTTTTTTAAATTAAGATTGATACTTATATGTTTAAAATAATGTAAAAAAAAAAATTGCCAAACAAAACGGGCCCTAAACAGTAAACAACACCCATTCCTCAGTCGTCAGCCTTCAGCTACCTCCATAATAAATTTTTTTAGAAAAATAGAAATAAAAAAGCCAAAGTATAACTTTAGATCTGAGCCGTTGATTAAGTACGTTATAATCAACGATCTGACCAAACCATCGTCCTCTCTCTTGAACTCGCCGTCTCGCGTGGTCTCTTGTGGCTCTCTGCAACCCTCACAACTTGCTATAGATCTGTGAGTCTTTTATTTAAAGTCTCAAACTTTTTTCTCTTAGATTTTGTTTTTAGATCTCATCAGGATCTGGGTTTGTTCGATTTTTCCTTTTGATTTAGGATCTCAAGGTTGAAGAGCAAACATGTTTGGGAGAGCACCAAAGAAGAGCGATAACACTAAGTACTATGAGATTTTGGGAGTCTCCAAGAACGCTTCTCAGGATGATCTAAAGAAGGCATATAGGAAGGCTGCGATTAAGAACCATCCGGATAAGGGTGGTGACCCTGAGAAGGTTGAGTTCTCTTTTGATTTTTGTTTTTTCTATGTTGGATTAAAATTTTTAAGTGTTTGTCAGTTATATACCGAATGGATTTTATTCAAGTTTGTTTCTTGAATTTCTGAGGTTTGATTGGTTCGGAAAGTACAGATCCGTTTACATATTAGCTTTAGGTCGTCATAAGTTTTAGTGTCTAAGTTTTGTATGTTTTGGGCAATTGTTTATGGAATTGTGTTAGATTGTTGAATCAGTTTAATGTTGTATCATTAGAGAATAATTCTTAGTTCTTAAGGTATGAATGTTTGGAACTTCTTGTCTGAAGTTTTATGCTGGTTGTCTTCTCTAATTTCTAGTTGAAATTAAATGAATATCAATTTGCTAAACTGGCAGTACTGTGTGGTTTTGTTTCAGTTTAAAGAGCTGGCACAAGCTTATGAGGTTTTGAGTGACCCAGAGAAGCGTGAGATTTATGATCAGTATGGCGAGGATGCCCTCAAGGAAGGAATGGGTGGAGGTAGCGGTGGTCATGATCCCTTTGACATCTTCCAATCCTTCTTTGGTGGCAGTCCGTTTGGTGGTGAGATCTCTTTTAACTGTCGTTTATTTAATTTTTACGTTTCTTTTTATGCTGGTATCTTTTATTCTGAATCTCAAAACCTCTGTGTTTCAAGGTGGTGGAAGCAGCAGAGGCCGAAGGCACAGAAGGGGAGAGGATGTGATACATCCCCTTAAGGTTTCTTTGGAGGATCTCTACAATGGGACATCCAAGAAGCTTTCCCTATCCCGCAATGTACTCTGCCCAAAGTGCAAGGGGTTAGTATGTGAATCTTGATTTAACATGTAACTCTTGACTTGACTATTTGGTTATCTAGGTTATTTTATATCTGGTTCCTGATTCATGGGTTTTCTTATGAGATTTGCAGTAAAGGGTCGAAGTCTGGTGCATCAATGAAATGTTCTGGCTGCCAAGGTACTGGCATGAAGGTCTCCATCAGACATCTTGGTCCTTCAATGATTCAGCAAATGCAGCATCCTTGCAATGAGTGTAAGGGTACTGGTGAGACTATCAGTGACAAGGATCGCTGCACACAGTGCAAGGGTGAGAAGGTTGTTCAGGAGAAGAAAGTTTTGGAAGTTCATGTGGAGAAGGGTATGCAAAATGGACAGAGGATTACATTCCCTGGAGAAGCTGATGAGGCGGTAATGGCACCTGCTTCTTCTTTGTTTTTGGTTGAATGCTTTACACTTAATGCAACTAAATGTTTCTAGTTGTTAGATTGCTGGTCTCATGAACTTATTTTTGCCTTTGCCAGCCTGATACTGTCACAGGGGATATAGTGTTTGTCCTACAGCAGAAGGAACATCCTAAGTTTAAGCGAAAGGGTGATGACATCTTCGTTGAACACACCTTGACCCTCACTGAGGCACTTTGCGGCTTCCAATTCATATTGACCCACTTGGATGGCAGGCAGCTTCTCATTAAATCGCAACCTGGAGAAGTTGTCAAACCTGGTAGGCATGGCGTTAAACTGTAGATGCTAGTTATCATTTGTCAGTTGATGTTCCTGTATTATTTGAATGAGGCTCTTGATCATTTTCTTTCTTGTGCTTTTGATTTATTTATTCATGAACTGATCTCCTTTTTCTTTGTGTTTAATATAGATCAATTCAAAGCCATAAATGAAGAAGGAATGCCGATGTATCAGAGGCCATTCATGAAGGGTAAATTGTACATCCACTTCACAGTTGACTTCCCTGATTCCTTGACCCTAGAGCAGTGCAAGGCACTCGAGGCTGTGCTACCTCCAAGGACCTCAGTGCAGCTGACTGACATGGAACTAGATGAATGTGAGGAAACTACACTCCATGATGTAAACATTGAGGAAGAGATGCGGAGAAAAACTAACGCACAGGAGGCTTATGAGGAGGATGAAGACATGCACGGCGGCGCACAGAGAGTGCAGTGTGCTCAGCAATGATAGAACAAATTGGGTGATGATGGGATTGACTTGGAAGTGGATGAGTTATTGAAGAAAAATTATGGTTATAATTGTTTTGTGAGAATAAGATTCTCAGTGTTGTCTTTGTTTAGACAATTAGATTGGTAGATGTTATGGAATATTTTTGTCTTGTTTGGAACCTGATTAAGTGTATGGAAAGATTATTACCATTCTATCTGACATAAATTGAGAATTTAATTACTACATGTCTTGCTTCGTTTTGCCATTGCATGATCTGCAAACTTGTAGGATCGGAACAGATCATGCCTGTTTTAAGGATGACTTGGATGTTCTTTACCTATGATTTCTTTTTATTTTTGGAAAAAGGGGAATCTTATTTAATTGACTTGTGCTCTTTTAAAGCATGAAAAGCACTTTGAAAGGAACACATTTGTTATGTATGATTTGCTGAATTTATAAAATTAGTATCTAACAAATAATTTAATTAGTTTAATAATAATATAATTTTAGTGGCGGAAAGTTCTCTATAATTATAAAATTCAAAATTTAAATAATAATAATAATAATAATAATAATAATAAAAAGAATAAAAAGAATGAAAGAGGAGTAGTTTGCGTGGAACTTGCTTGAACGGTGTGATGACATGTGGACGATAAATTCTTTTCTTCTTTTTCTCACAGCAATGCCTATACATTTCTTAATTATGATGGCTAAACAATTATGAAGTTCACCTTATTAGAGATTGTTAGATCAAAGGTAAGTACCTGCTCCTCTTCTCTACCAGTTTTTGCAGCAACGTTAAATTGTCAGAAATGTGTGGTGTCTACAACTCCAGCGATTCATTTGAGATCTTTGGAAAACTTTCAACCTTCGACGGGATTGTGCTCTTCATCGGTGTCCCAGCCGTCTTGATCTTCATAATCCTGGTGGTTTGCATCTGCCATCCCCGCAGACCCCGCTCCTCCAACGCCAACCTGACTCACACTGGCTCCAACGGCGTCTCAATTACCGTAGAAGGAGGCCGTGACAAGGAGATTCTCCACGGCTGCTCCAAACTCCTTTATTCACAAGCAAAGCTACAGAAAGCCGATTGCTCTTCGAGTTGTTCCATATGTTTGGATGAATACAGGGATGCAGATATGCTGCGGCTGTTGTCTGGTTGTGGCCATATTTTTCATCAGGGGTGCGTCGACCCTTGGTTGATGCTGCATCCTACCTGCCCTGTTTGTCGGAACTCACCACCGTCGACTGCTCCAAACAAGTGATGCCATTGGCCATGTCCGATGTAAGATTATAAATTTATAGAGTTGAACATAACTTGCAATTTATACTTGTTGATGACCAGTTGAATTAATTCTCATTGGCGCATGAATTCGAATATAGTTTCTCATTTGGATAATAAACTCTCCTCAATTCCTTTCAAACAATGATTAAGGGCGGATATCCCTCAAAGGCCAAAGAGTCTAAATTTAATTTCTTTATTTTTAATTTAGATTTACGGTTTCAATTAAGCTGAATTTATGCTTGGGTAAGTATAGGGACGCCAATGCCCTACCACTTTAACAGGATTGCGGCCATCTTTACCATGTGCGTTGATCCATACTGCATTCCGACTTGATGCAACTGAATTTTAAAAATTATACTTATATAACTACAAGTATAATAAATATATTTTTTTTATTATATATTAAAAATAAAAATTAGTTTTTAATTTATTAATTATTTAGTTAAAATTATTTATTTTTATAATTTATATATTTATGATGAAAACTTACTTTTAATTTATAGATTAAAACAATTTTTAAAAAAAATAATTTGTCAGTGACATGAATTTTGAATTAAAATCGTTTATTTTTATAAATGATGTATTCGAGTTTTTCCTACTTTACCCTTCCTTCTCTACTTAATTAATATATATAACCAAATTTCAATTTGGTAAAAAAAAAAAAAAAGAACTTAAAAAAAAGATCTATTAACAGTTAAGAAAATAAAATAAAAAAATGACAGCTATGCGTTGACAAATTCGGAGAGAAACTCAGCTTGCATGCTTGTGATGTACCTTTTACATTTATGCGTTTCCTTAGTTGACATCTCCACTTTCAATTTCTTAATTTCTTCCCCAAAGTCATGAAATTCAACCCCAGTTCTCTCCTCCTTAAATTTAACCCATCTCTCTGGCCCTCCTATCACACCAAACTCTACGTACAAAAGATCATGATGAATGCTACCACCGATTACCCACTAAATGTTTCTGGTAATTATAAATTTGTTCTTGCCTTCGGAATTTCCATCGGCGCTCTTCTCCTAATCTTTATCATCATCGTTGTGTCTTATTACCTATGTACTTGCAAGCGTCAGCCGTTGCATCCACCTGATTACCAGAGCACTTCCTCTTCCGATGATCAAGACGATTCCGTCACCATTGAGCTTGGACTCGACCAATCCAACCTCCTCAATTGTCCCAAGTTCCTTTATTCTCAAGCCAAACTCGACAGGGGCGATTCAATGGTGTCTACCTGCTCCATATGCTTGACCGAGTACAAGGAGGATGATGTGCTCCGATTGTTACCAGATTGCAATCACATCTTCCACTTGGATTGCGTGGATCCATGGTTAAAGCTCCATCCCACGTGTCCAATATGCCGGCACTCGTCAATTCCACCGGTTGAGGTCGCTGCCTTGACAAGGCGGCGGCAATATTTCCGTCCATGGTTTACACCGTCCATGCATTATTAATTATTTTGCTTTCATTGGCTTGGAATTTGTGAAAATTGGAATTTTTAAATTTATGGTTTTATGGTTTGTTGATGAATGCTTATCAAATGAAAGAAAAAAAATGCTCTTTGCATTTTTAAATGATGGCTACTTCTATACGTCACTTGGATGAACCATTACGCTAGCTAGTCGCGTGGTTTGTTATAATATTATTTCAATTATATCACATCATTATATAGTCTATAGTATTATTTTTTACTATTGTAGAACTAGAAACTTCATAAGGAAAAATGGACAACCGTTCACCATGTCAATTTTATCATACTACAAAATGTTTTTTGCTTCTTATTAAAGTTAGATTAATTTTTCTATATTTCAAAATTAATATTTTCTTAAATGATTTTAAAAGTATATCTTCACATTAATCTAATTTTTTTAATATTAACTTTAAAATTT